ATATTATATTATATTATATTATATTAATAATTATGTATTATTTTTATACTGAAACCAGGTCACTGAGCACCAAGGATGCTCTCTGTGATGACCCAGAAAGCAGGGCAGCCAGCCTGGACACTTCAGGGAAGAGAGGCTGGGGTGTTCCCCAAAATGTTCCCAGACCTTTCACCAGGACTGCCTAGCACAGGCAGTTGTTTAAGGGAGCATTCATTGTTCTCCAAGCCCTCTGTACCTTCAGGAAAAGCCTCCGGAGGGACTTTGAATATTTTATTGTCCACTTTGACCTCCTCCTGTCTGTACTCTGCTGCAGGGAGTGAGTTTTTCTTGCATAAACTATCCAAGATCTGTGTGGGCTTGAAAGCATCTCGCCACATGTTGTAGCCATTTCTGCATGGAAGGGAGAACATCAAGAATATCTTCATCTTAGACAGAACAGGTTTTTTCCTAGGCTGTGAAATGCTTTGCCTTTCCTATAGCACATGCTGAGCTCAGACTTTCACTGGGAAAACCACAGGCACAGAAAAGCTTAATGAATTAAAAGCTTAACAAGGTCTCATTCCCCAAAACAAGCCAGACTTGCATGCCACAGATCCATTAGCTTCAGAGCAGCAACAGGAGCAATTCCAGCTGCAGTTGTAAGTGAGAAGTTTTAGTGGTGCTGGGGACTTAGCTAATTCTACAATAGAAGAAGAGAAGAGGTAGAAGAGAAGTTTACAGAAAAACAGATAAAGACACCAGAGAATCCATACTGAATGAAGCCAAAGAAAAACAGATGTCATATGTCTTGCTGTTCACAGAATCAGCTACTGCCAGAAAAACCACCCTACCTTCTGAAAGAGGTCAAAATCACATGAATGTCAAAGGGGTGCTTTTCTCAGAAAACAAGTATGAAAGGATAAAATATTTTTTTGTTACTATATGCAAAATAGATTAGTTCACAATTGGAATTAGAGCTATCACAGGAAGCTGGCAGGAGTCTAAAGGAGATGGAGTTATCCATGTAACTTGTAGTCAATCTGTGTGCACCTGCTCAAAGGATACTGTGCACCCAAGCTCCATCCTGCAAAACTGGAGGTGCTCTGTTACCCCCCCTAACAAAAGATGAGAAGAACTCGTTTCATGGCTCTCATGTGTCACACCAGTACCTACATGTCATATTGAGAAGCCAGTCCACAGTTGGCCCTGTGCTTGCTGTAGAATCGATTCTCCAAGTCAATCTTGGTCTCCCCAATCAGATCGTCAGATCCAACCAAATCATGGTCGAATATTGCCACCGTGAGTTCTGATTCCATGGGAAAGGAGACTGTCAGCTCCACAACTCTGGACAGAAGTAGATGGTGAAAGTGCCATTAGCGAGTAAGATGGAAATGAAACATGAGCTCTGCTTTGATCATCCTGCACTTCTAAGAAGTCTAGTTGGCAACTCAAAGACCCCTGACAGAGTTTGATTCTCCTTACGTTCAGTGTATGCGGTTTTCTGCGCATGCAGTTTTCAGCGTGAACGTTCAAACAAAGGAATTACTTTTCCAGGAATGTATGCCCTTGGCTAGAGGTCCTGAAGCTAGGAAAAAAAGCTCTCCAATGCTCTGTTACTGTTTGACTTGCTACTTTGGCTGTTAAGTCAAACCTTTGGGAATGCTCCCCTTCTAACCCAAAATGACTCCTGCACCAGGAGAGGCAAGAGATATGCCTGGGACCTTCGTGTTACAGTACAAGATTCTCCAGTAGAAAGGAACAGAAGATCACACATGCTGGGCCACAGCCTGAGCCCCAAATCTGCACTATTCCTATTAAACCTGACAGATGAAAACTTCCCACATACTCTCCAAACACAGGATTGAGCTGCTTTGGGATGTATCGCTCCTTTGTGTCCTTCTGTTCTCGCCCCACAGTCACCACCACATAGGGGTCTGCCTTGCCATTGGGGTCTGCTGGAGATAGGTTCGTAGCCTGAAATACACAAGAGGGACTGCCATACACCAGCTGCAGGGAGCAACCTGCCCAAGGAACACTGCACAGGCCCAAGACCACCCAAGCCTGCTGCTCAGGTCCCTCTAGCAGCTGCCCCAGCAGTTGAACAGGCACATGTTCCCACACAAATCCCCACTCAACAGGCCATCGATGTCTCCAGCTGTCAGCCCATTTACTTGCTCACCATCACAAGACAGATTTTTAGCACCTCCTGAAGCTACAAAGCATGGAAAGGATCTCCATGAGCAAGATGTAGCTGACTTCACTGGGCTGGCAGAGCCTTCAAGTCAGCATCAAGCTTTTCACAAGTGCTGCTGCTCATATTTATTGAGCAGAGAATGGCAGAAGGTCCACAGGGAGGGACAGACCTCCAAGCATTACTGTCAGCACTACCAGAGACTTACCTTAATGATGTATACTCTTAGAAGAACCTTGATGGGTCTGTTCCTTGGAACACCCTGAGAGACCTTGGGCTCCATGCCAGCTTCCTCAGTGGGGTAGACATAGAAGGAGCCCTACAGAAAAGACACTGCAAGTAACCACTAGAGACTACACAAAAGAAGATATCTCAGGTGGGAATAGAGCCAACAAGACCAGCTTCACCTGCCAACTGGAAACTCAGAGCCATTGCCCCATGCAGACTAGAGACACCCTGTGCTCATGGGGACAAAGGCACTGTCATGTCCGTATGAATCACAGAATCATAGAATCATTTAGGTTGGAAGGGACCTCCAAGATCATCAAGTCCAACCACCGAGCCATTAGGGCTCTAAAGTCCTCTGCTAAAACAGATCAGAATCTGTCAGGGTTGAAAGGGTCCACAAGGGTCACCCAGTTCCAACCCCTCTGCCATGAGCAGGGACACCTCCCACTAGATCAGGCTGCCCAGAGCCTCACCCAGCCTGGCACGGGCAGTCCCTGTTTGCAAGTTAGGCTGCAGGCTGTCAGACCACTGTCAATGCCAGAAGATCTGAACATCTCAAGGCACTTCGGACTGACAAAGGCAAGGAGCACCAAAGGGTTTCTAGGGACCTTTTTAAATAAATTTCTGTAGTTGGCATTTCAGAGTCTTCAGCAGCTCCTGGGTGAGAGTATGATACCTCTTCTAAACAAGTCTTACTAATCTTAGAACCAGTGAAGCTCACTAATTTTTATTTGCATACTGAAGATACTGAGAGGCCCCAACCAGAATAATAGTCTTTTATGCTTCATGCTCTCTCCTTGCAAGACCTATACAATCTAAATCAAGCGCATTTATCAACTAAAAGAGGACCATAGTACACAACTGCTTCAACAAGCACCAACTGAACCCTGGCCATGCCGTGGCCCCACAACACCTTGCACACACATGCAGCCTACAAGGCTTTGCTGGTGTCAGCATGTTCTGAAATCCAGGATGTCCGAAGGGTTTTCTTCCATATGTAGCACAAATGTCATTCAAATAATACAGTACCTTATACTTCCCCACAAAATGTTCGTCTTCATTTCCATCTTCATCCTCATTTGCTTTGCCACGATGAAGGGGGAAAATACACAGCCAGTCTTCAAAATTTTCAAACGCATTTTCCAGCTCAGAGTTGTAGATCTGCAATAAAGAGAAAACCATCTGGGGCCTTTTCCTGCTATCTTAAAGTGGAGGAGAGTCAGGAAGCCCACCGTTTTCCTGCTTCAACCATTTCACCTGGTCCTACCTTACCCTTGTATTACTCGGTGCAGGGTGTTAAGGTTTTCCCTTATTCCCCCCCCCTCCAGGTCCATCCTCAAATGTGCACACACATCCCAGCTTGGCTCCAATGTCTCCCTAGCTGTTCCAAAGTCCAGCAACGTGGGCTCAGTGCACACTGCAGGTTCTCTTCCCAGTCTAACCTCCACTGCAGGAAAGTGAGGAGGACATAGACAAAGGGATAGGGTTGAAAGAGACCAGATCTGTCACTCAAATAACTACCTGAAGGGTGGCAATGAGCTTCCGCTTGGGTCGAGGAGGTTCAGTTTCAATTACTGCCTCATCTTCTGCTTCCATGTCAATATAGGCTGCATTTAAATTCCCTCCATCTAGAAATGGCAGTAGAAGATTAGGAAATGCTCTGATCTCTCCCATCATCTCAAGTGTCTGTCCATGAAGTGACCTCGGTAAGAGCTTTCAGTTTCAGCCAGGGCTTTGACCTGTGTCAGGGTAACTGGAGGTGTTGCTGTCTGTAACAGGTGTCCTTACAGCACTTCAGGTTTCCCAGCAAAGCATAGCTGGATGGATGGGGGAACAAAAATTGGCATAGACTTGCCTGCCTGCATACCTACTGTTTAGGAAGGAAGTGGGCAGAGACCAAATGGAGGAAAGTGGCTGGACCAGCCCACTGGTGCCTACAGGAAAGGCACAAATGAGATCTAACCCTCTTCTCTGGAGGGATGCTTATTTGATGGACTGCTGTTTTGGGTCAATGTCTAACTGAACCATCACTACCACTTTGGGCACAGGGAGTTGTGCCTGGAGAGAGTATAGCTAGAACATTCTCTGAGCACCAGCAACCCAAGGACAGAGAGGATGCATCCTTGCCTCAGTTCTCAAAGACCCTAGGATCCCCTGAGCACTAATGGCATGCAGTTAGCCTCCAGCTCTTCCTTGACACAGGATTTACATCATTTCTATACTTACTGCCTCATCTCCCCAGGTCATTGCTAGGGAGTCACTGCTTATACCTCTGCAAGCATTAGGTTATAGCTGTAAAACTGTTTTCAGATCATCTGTTTAATATTACTGTCTTTCTGTTACCTCATGGTGCATCCTGTACCCTAAGTGAGTATCCCACATGCACAGTGATGCCCAGCTCCTGGACAGTTGTGCCTCACCACCATACTCTCTTTCTATCCCACTTTTGCTTCCTGGTCTCACCCTGTCAATCCCATGATCCTTGCAGCTGATGTTCCTGCAGGCTTTTGCTCACGCAGGAAGGCTCTTGCTACAGCACAATTTGCCAAAATTTTCTGAGGAAAGTTTGGTGTTTTCAATTTGAAATAGCCTTCATTAGCCCTTGCCAATATCCCACTACTCCCTTTTGTGTTGTTTTTGCTGAATGTTGCAAAGCCGTTGCCTGCTCAGACCCCATTCCCCCAAGCCCAGCACCCTCTGTGGTGCTGTAAGCCCAGGCTATCCTCAAAGAAGGGCTGGGTATGACTAAAGAACTCACCTGCATCATTCAGGTCATCATTCTCAGCATCTTCCTCATCACCACGTGCCTGAAACACACAGTCAGCCCACACCCCTGAGCAAATGTTTCTGCATTCAAGCACAGGACACTGTCAGAGCTTTCCTGCCAGTAGAGTCAGCAACACCTAGCCTGAGATCATTTAGCATTAACATCATTGCAGGAGGGTAATCCAACGAGTGCCTTAATGACCTTTTCTTTTTCCCAGAACCTCCTGCTGGCTCTCTTTATTGGGATTTAAGTGACACAGAGCAAGGAGGAAAGTTGCAGCAGACCTGCTCCCATAGCATATCCTGGGAAGACAGGCAGAACAAAGAGGAAGCAGTGTGAAAGCCCCCTGCATTGCAGCTAAAATCAGCAATGTCACATCTTCAGCAGTGCCCCAGCACAGCCCAGCTACATTCTCTATACCACTTGGGCAGCCAGCTTCAGGGATGTTTCAACATCCGTTGCCTGCTGAAATCAGTACATCTGCTGGATGCTTGATACCTGGCTACCTTAAGTGTGCTGCACACAAAAGCACACATCTTCCTGCAGATCCATGCCAGGAGGGCTCCTATGACACTCAATGCTGTTGAAAACATCTTCCTCAAGCCAGTGCAGGCACTTTTCCCCTCTGACAACAGCGATCACAAAAGATTACCTGGTTATACAGCTCCTTCAGGGATTCATAGTATTTAGACCACCAATCCAGTTCCTCCAGCTCTGGTTTTTCCTCTTCATATTCTTCCTCCTTCTTTACAAGCCTGCTGATAGGGATTTTCTTCAGAGGAGCCTTAAAACAACAGAGAAGAGGATTCAGAGTGAGGAAACCACCACTCAGAACATGCAGGCACCCTACTCTAGTGCCCTGGGAGTCGCTGGCAGAGGCTCAGCTTTCAGGCAGAGCACAGAAGTGCAAAGCTACCTGTAGCCCCAGGTTTGTGCTTTTCTACAGAAGCAGCAGTTTTCAAGGCACCAGGCAGCACAGCTCTCACCCCTATGCCAAAGCTTGGACATGCAGCAGTGCTGATGAACAGGCAGGAGAGAATAGTGTTTGGGTCCAGAGTAAAAACTGGTGGTTGAAACCTAACTCTGAACTTCTGAATATTTTTTTGTTTGTAACCTTCAGTGGTTTTACAAATTTCAAAATTTGCTGGGCTCAACACATCACTCACCTTCACAAGACTCAGGGGGTGAGTGCTGGGACCCAGGTCACCAGCTGCCAGGCCAGTGTTTACCACAGTTTGAGAGGGAAGACGCTGGGATGAGACTTTCCAAGCTGAGATGAGGAGAAAGAGCTTCATGTTTCCATGCATTTATTTCTGTCCACTGCTTCCTACTTTTAGGGCAGTCATTATTCCACAGGAAAACCCTCCCTGTTACTCCACTATAGTGTGATTGATTTTAAAGCTTTTGATATCAGATCCTGCAAAAATATTATTGGAAATCCAAGTACAGTGCTGAGCCTGGCCACCATCATCCGTATGCCTGTTGCAGATTCTCAGGAATTCACATTTATGAGACACACGTTCTCTGCTCAGAAATGACCACAGATTGATCAATCCTTTGCTTCTGCCCCCTTCATGCCATATTTATTTACACATTTCCAGATCAGAGCTCTGGCTGTTGCTATCACAGAGCTATTTAGTGACTCCATTACCCAACGAACAGACCTCGACACAACAATGTGAGAGAAGCTTAGACCGTTCAGTTCTTGGTACTAGTGGGCCAGCTTCCTAAAGATTGATGAACTGCTCTCCAGCCCAGCTACGCAGAGGGTTGAAATGGGTGAACACAATAGTCCTTTCCAGGCTAAACATCTCTGATTCTAGACACAAGCTTTCCACAGGGATGTGTTACTGTCTAGTGTCTAGCCCCAGCTAAATGCCCTGCTGGACTAAGACGTCTTCAAGTACCATTCTCCCTCCCCCACTTTCTACAGGTGTAAGGCAAATAGTGCCTGGGAAAGAGACCCCAAGGATATGCCACATCCACAGATGAACAGGTGGGCTAGTGTGCCAGGGAGGCAACATTACGCAAATCTTGGAGAAAACAGTCTGTAAATTGCTCTTTGCCATCCCTGAAGACGGACAGCAACCCTTACACAGCATTCCATCACTTGCTGCTGCTGCTTGCTAAATGCCAGTCTGGAGCCAAGTGCTATGGACCAGGCTCACAACATGCCTACAACCCTAACCTGCCCTATGCTGGGCATCTTATCGCTCTCAGGAGAGGACTTTGCTGCCTGGCTAGGAAGGAGCAGAAGGGCCAGGGATCTCTGCCACTGGCAGAATCTACCTGCTGCCTCCACAAGAACCTTGCCAACCAACTCACCTTTGGGAACATCTTCTGGTTCCTCCTCCAGCTCTCTGGGAAAGAATCTCATCACATTGGACACAACATGGGTACCCACCAGCACAGTGCGCCCAAACGCACGCTTTTCCACCACAAAGATGCTGAGGGGAGGGTGCAGGTAGACCTGCTCTGGGAGCTCCTGCAAAAGAATCACACCTGGAGTTCACAGGAGCAAGGGTGATACCTGTGGCAGCCCCTCCACAAATGAGGAGGTCTGACAGTGCCTTGCAGCTCTGCCCAAAACCCAAAGCCTTGTAGTGACAGACAATGGCTGAGACTGCTCTTGCTGGGCAATTTCAGAAGGGTTTTGATCTGCAGCTGAACCATGTGACCACAGGAGAGCAAAACCGTGGGAGCAGCTCCCCTCCTGTCAGCTTGCCCCATGCAGACTGGCAGTACACAAGTGCAGGATGGTGACGGTGCACCCTGGCATGGAAGAGCCCTCCTTCCCACTCACCACATCCATGTATTTGACCAGCTCGGTGAAGTTGGGGTTCTCTTTGTAGGCCATGATCACCTCTGAATCCACCTTCTTGCCAGCACATTCAATGATCACCTGGGGCTGATCCACCTCAAACAAGTTCACCCGCTTCAGGTCCCGCAGGCCCCAGAACAGGATCTGAAGCACAACACAAAGCCACTGGGCTGCTCAAGACATGCCAGGCATGGCATGGCCACGCAGCCTGCAACCCTGCCTGGGGCTGCCACCCTCTTCACCCCACAGGACACAGGCCCCCAGAGAGGCATGAGGCCACTTTCCTAATGCAGCTACCCAGCAGCTCTGGCTGTTAAACCGGTGAGACAGTTTCTCACTCATCTCAGGCACCTCCATTTCTAGCACGTGCTCAAAGGCATGCTGGGGCTCCAAACCCAGCTCCCCTCCCAAGCCCTGCCCCCTGCACACGCCGGTGGCACTGTTCTGTGGGGGCAGCAGCAGGCAGCACACCTCTATGCGAAACTCCTTCAGCACCGGGCGGATGCCCTCCGGGATGATGAACCGTCCCGCGCGGGGGTCTCCCAGGTAGTCGGGCTCCTTGGGCTCCACGTCCTCAGACACTGATGGCTGAACAGGTGGAGCCAGGGCATACCAAATTATAAAAGCCACCTCCACTCCGTGCCATGCCCCCTCTCCCTCCCCTCTTGATATGTGCTCACAGGCTCTGTCCCTACAGCCCCACATCAGTTGAAAGCCAGATGGGGCTTTCAAAGAGAATCCTCTGGTGGACCCCAAGAATCAAGCTCCCGACCCATACAGCTCTCCCCAGACAGCTGGCAACCACATGCAGGTTCCTACAAGCCCATTACTTCCAAACAGCCACTGTAATCCATCTCGATCAGCTCAAAAGCAGCAATGAGCTCTCCAGCTGCTTTGGTGCCTTTGTAGAAATCAAAGAACTGCAGGGCAGGTTTGGTGTACGGCTCGTCGACCAGCTTCACCTGAGGGACAGCAAAGGCCTGGCCCAGGAACTCAGGGGAGCCCTGCAGAAAGGTGGGGAATGGGTCAAAGCATTACTGTGTTATCTCACCACCTCAGAGAAAACACCACCACTAATTCCAGCCAAACTGGGACACCATAAAATAATTTTTCCACACTTGTCACCCTCTGCTTGATTTCTTCTGCTCCACCCAGAGCTAGGAGCAGATAAGATATGCCTGCAGCAGCTCCTCTTAACTCCCAGTCCCTCTCCATGAGAACTGGGCAAAAGCCCTGGGACCACGCACCAGAGGACACCAAATCTAGGTCAGTTTGCTCAGGATCTCTTCCAGTCGGGGTTTGAATATCTCCAAGGATGGGGATCCTACAAGCTCTCTGAGATCCAGGCCCACTATTTGAACTCCTTCTGGGTTAAAATCCTTATATGCCTTATATCAAGCTGGATTTTTTTTTCTTGTTTCAACTTGTCTGTTGCCTGTCATCTGGCCCCTGGGTACCTCCAAGGGAAGTCTGAGTCCACCTTTTCTACACTCTCCCATCAGGCAGCTGCAGGTAGCAACAAGACACCACCTTTGCCTCACCTTCTCCAGGCTGAATATACCTAGCTCTCCACCTCTCCTCACTCTGCCCTGTGCTCCATCCCAAACTATCTTGGTGGCCTGCTCTGTACACGCTCTGGTTAATCAGTGTCTGTCTTGTCCTGGGACCCAGGAAATGGCCCAGGAAAACTGCTGAGCTACACAAGAGAATCTGCTGTGAGTTATGCCATTCCCCTTATGATAAAGAGGCCCCAGGAGAGGCATGTGACTTCAAAATACTAATGAAGAGAGAAAAGGGAGGACTGCAGAGAAATAGAAGATGACACCTGAGGTACAGAGGGGAAGGAACAGCCCTAAGCACTACGTCATCTCCCTTTGGCTACCAGCCCTGTGCAACATGAGTCTGCTGAAGCGGGGCAGGCAGTGGGAGAAGCACAGTGCTTCTCCAAAGAGAGATCTCAGATTCACCGAGCACTTGTCAGGCCCTCGCTTAGGCATCTCTGAGCCATCTGCACACTACAGCAGCTTCACCTCAGCTCACAGGAGAAGTCTGCAGAAAGTCTCAAGCTTAGCCACAGCCCCCAGGACTCACCACCACCAGTGCACCAGGATTAAGCTGAGTCATGGAAATCAAACAGAGATGTGGCTACTAAGTGCTCACTTGCAGCACCCACACAGAGCTCCTCTGCCTTCCCTGTCCTGGAAGTGATAGCAGGAGGGCAGTATGGCCATACTTACAAATTTATTGTGGCTGAAAAGGTTGATTACAATGATGGGGGTCTCTGTTTTCAGCTCATCTCTTTTGCCATCAATAATGAGCTGATCAAACAGAAGTAGCTCATTCCACATGGGGCTCAATGTCTCCTCCAGCATCTGCAGACAGACAGGAGGCCTGAGCACACGCACTTTGTAAAGACAGAGAGGAAGCCTGGGCTCATCCCCTCTCCCAAGCAGCCACATGCAGGGTGACGGCTGGCAGGAGGGGAGATGGTAAGCACGAAATCAGCACTTGGGGCCAACTAGCATATACCAATCAGCTTCTGAGACAATGAGATATATGTTTTGTCAAATGTTCCCTGGACATAGTCACACCTCCCAAAGCATACAAATACCTGGAGTTACAAAATTCCCAGGAGGAGTGACACATCACTGGCTGTCAACACGTCAGTGAGGACAAGATCATTTTTCTCTCCACAAGTCCCCAAGAAAGAAGAGGCAAGAGTTTAAGTGGTCTCACCCTAGTGGTCTGGCAATGAGTTGAAAACACCACTCTCACAAATGGATCTGAAAGGCCATTGTCATCTGCAGGGAGGATCCCTCGAGCCTGATACAGATGGGCTCGGAGCTGAAAATAGCTGTAATCTGGTAAAAAAAAAGGGAAGAGAGGTCCCAGTTCCCCAGTCCAGCCCTACGTGAGGCCAAAAATGCATGAAGAAGAGGACTATCCAGGTGGGAGTGGGCACAACGGGGGGTACCACTCTGGTTCTCGGAATGCCAGCCACGGCCAGTTTGGCAGGACGTTCAGTGCCTATGAAGCACCCATCCTGCCTGCTGCTCCAGCTGTGAGCGTGCAACCACATCCTCATGAGAGCAAACTGGACCCACCTGTCCCAGACATGCTGTGGAGATGATAGATCAGGTCTTACTCCTCAGACATTGACCCTGGAGCAGGACCTCTCACCTCTCTGCTCTCCTGTTCACAGTTAAGCCATGGAAAAGTGGCATCTGCACTCACCATCCCTGCTAAGCCGGCTGGGAAGACTGTATGCTGAGAGCTGTGCTATCTCCTGTCCACTCTCAGAGAGGTACTTGAACTCCTCAGGCAGCTCTGCCAAACAGTTTTTCGCATATTTGGTAACCCCAAGCCACATGTAGATTTCCAGTTTGGCAAAGATCTCACCAGTGTGTAAGCCAGGGACCTGAAAGCACAAGATGTTTAGCAGATTTCCCACCTCAGCCATGCCCCTTCAGACCAAGATGATCATCATCAGCCAGGTCATCATCTCTGTCAGGAGACAGAGCGCCGCATTGGCAGAGGCTGAAGGCAGCGGTGGAGCACGAGCTGCATTTTCTTGTGAACTCCAGGATTTCAGGAAGGAGGGCTGGAAGCAAGGAGGGAGAAGCAGCTGGAAGCAAGCAAGACTACGCTGTTTAGGTATAAACTCTACCTTCATAAAGACAGTCTGGATCTTAGCACAGTCCTTGCCTTTCTCCTCTTCGACCACTGAGTAGAGGATGTTCTGTGCAGGAACTCTCGCATATGCCACACGCCTGTTGTTGCTGAGCATCCAGACAAGTACATCAGGGAGGGTGCACTGAGGCTGTAGGGAGGAAAGAGAGAAATATCACAGCAGAGGAACAGCACATATCTTGCCCTCTCTCCACTGACATGGTAAAAGCTTCATCTCCCCACAGGAGGGACTGCTGGCTGCACAGTGATTTGGAGATCCAGAAGCAAATGAAGGGCCCAGCATTGGGGACATGCTCCTGAAGGTCTCTGCCCTGCAATATGGCTCTTCAGGTGTCATGGTTTAACCCCTACATAGCCCTTCACTTGCCATCCCCCAGCAGGAGAGGGGAGAGAATCTGAAGACTGAAAGTGAGAAAACTTGTGGGCTGAGGCAAAAGCAATTCAACAAGTAAAGCAAAAGCCACACACAAAAGCAAAGCAAAACAAGGAATTCACCACTTCTCATCATAGGCAGATGTTCAGACATCTCCAGGACACAGGGCTCCACCATGCTTATCAGTGACTTGGGAAGGCAAATGCTGTAACTCCAAACATTCCTCCCCTTCTTTCTTCCTCTCCCAGCTTCATATGCTGAGTAGGATGTCATATGGTATGGAATATCCCTTTGGTCTGTTTGGGTCAACTGTCCCAGCTCTGCCCCCTCCCAACTTGTGCACTCCCAGTCTACTCACTGGTGGGATGAGGTGAGGAGCAGAAGTCTTTGACCCTGTGTAAGCGCTGCAAAACAATAACTAAAACATTCCTGTGTTATCAACGCTGTTTTCAGCACAAATCGAAAACACAGCCCCATACTAGCTACTGAGAAGAAAATTAACTCCATCAAAGCCAAAATCAGCACAGCAGTCTTCTTGGAGGGAAAATCTGTAATCTGCCTTGTTTTCCACTGCAAACCCCATCAGGATGCACTGAACAAGGAAACAGCAAGGAAAGACAGAGGAGGAAAGGCCCCAGCTCAGGCTAGTGAGAGCCCCAGCAGCCATACCAGCACTCTCTCCCTGCCCATACCCCCTCCTGCTGATAAACTGGATGCCCCAGGAGCAGCTGTACCTCTTTAGCCATAAAGCGTAGCTTTGCCAGGACCTTCCTTGTGTCCTTCATCTTCTCCTTGATGTTGACTCGAGTCAGCCGCCGCTTCACACGGAGCCCCTGTTTTGCACACAGGATCTGAACAGAGAGCAAGGCCGTCACACGCCTGACCCTGACCCAGGCATGCCACGCTGGCACCCCTCCTGGGGGCTCTGCAGGGAAGCACCCACGCACTGAGCACATCCACCCTGCCCCATCACACCCTGACCTCCACCATGGCTCACAGCTGCTGAGAGCAGAGCTCTATGAACCTGGCACAAGCCATTTAATGAAGGGCACCAAGAACCCCAGAACCTCAGCAGCTCTGCCGAAACCAGTAACACAAGTCCATGAGATTTTGCCTAATTTGGGGCAAAAAGATTGTTGTGAACACAGATGTATATAGGAATGAACGCTTCAGAAGCTGGTGGTCTAAGGCTCCAGATAGTGCCTAGGGGAGGCTTTGTACAGGGACAAACCTGGGGCCACAGAAGTAAGGGAATATGAATACATAGGAAACTGCAAGATGGGGCTAGGCTTTCATGTCCATTAATTGATAGTGTACATATCTGAGAAGAGACTTTGTGATGAACCAAAACTAATAATGAAATCCAGAAAGAATTCAGGGTTCCAGAAAACTCATCTCTTGTCTCAGACATATGACATCCTTGTCTCTAAGATGGACAGACATGGACTTGATGGATGGACCACTTGGTGGACAAGGAACTGTCTAGAAGAACACACTCAAAGAGTTGTGACCGATGGCTCGAAGCCCAGGTGGAGACCAGTGACAGGTAGAGTTCCTCAAGGGTCTGTTCTGGGTCCCGTGCTGTTTAACATCTTTGTCAGCACATGGACAGTGGCACTGAGCTCACCCTCCACAAGTGTGCTGATGACACTAAGCTGTGTGGTGCAGTGCACTCGCTTGAGGGAAGAGAGGCCATCCAGAGGGACCTGCACAGGCTTGAGAAACTGGCCAATGTAAACTGCATGTGGTTCAGCTTGGGGGTGCTGATTGGCAAGAAGCTCAACATGAGCCAGCAGTGCGCTCATGCAGCCTGGAAGGCCAACCACATCCTAGGATGCAAGACAGGCATTTTTCCCCCTTTACTCGGCTCTTGTGAGACCCCACCTCGAACACTGCGGCCAGTTCTAGTGTCCCCACCATCAAAGGGACATAGATCTGTGGGAATGAGTCCAGAGGAGGGCCACAAAGATGATCCAGGGGCTGGAGCATCTCTGCTATGAGGGTAGGCTGAGGGCACTGGGACTGTTCAGCCTGGAGGAAGAGAAGACTCCAGGGGGAGTCTTATAACTGCCTTCCAATACCTGAAGGGAACCTACAGGAAGGCTGGAGAGGAACTTGTCACAAGAGTGTCCAGTGACAGGACAAGGGGAAATGGTTTTAAACTGAAGGAGGGTAGGTTTAGACTAGATCTTAGGAAGTTCTTCAGTACAAGGGTGACAAGACTCTGGAAGAGATTGCCCAGAGAGGCTGTGGATGCCTCTAGCTGGAGGTGTTCAAGGCCAGGTTGGATGAGGCCTTGAGCAACCTGGTCTAGTTGAGAGGCATCCCTACCCATGGCAGGGAGGGTGGATTAGATGATCTCTAGGGTCCCTTCCAACCTCAGCCATTTTATTATTTTATGACTTAGCAGAGTACACTCACCATGACTGAGGCGACGGTATGCAGGGAGGCAGAGGGACAGGAGCTGGGACTCAGACATGCCTCAATTTTATTTCCTGTTGCAGTCTTTGCATTTTATGAGCCTTTCAAAGCTTTGTAGTCTGATGGGGGCTATGACTACAGCCATGCTCTGCTGGTATTCTGATGGAAGGTATGTGCTCTCAGTTAGTTAGTCAGCCTTGTCTGCAGAATTATGAGTGCCCAGATATTGCCCTCTTCGAGGACAGACAGAAGGATGGATTTTGTAGATCTGCTGGATAGGTACCCAGCCTATGGGCTGAGTTTCCAGGGACAGTGGATCTCAGTGAGTTCCCTCAAAAGTGCCTGTGGGAATAGCCTGCACCAAAAGATCTCCAGCAACCTACTGAGCAGCCACATGCATATTCTCAGGAAGGAGAGCATCAGGCCACATCATCTGCATAAAACTGGAGGCAGCCATGGCCAGTCCTTGCCACTGTTCCCTGTGCTGGAAGCTGTGTTGCTCTGAGCAGAAGTGGGAGATGCTGCAGTAAAAGCCTACGACTAATACCATGAGTCTTAGCTCCAGTTTTCCTTCTTAGCATGAATTCTGTCTGGTCATCCAGAAGCATCCCCCAGAGTGGGGACTGCATGGGCTCCCACCAGCATCACCAAGCCCCAAATCTTACAATATTGCGCATCAGGTATTTTGTCCGACATCTGTCGAGGCTGTTTGGGTGTGACATCGTTCTTCTCTCTGCACTGAGTGAATATTGCCTGCAATGAGAAAAGTAGCACAGGCTCTGCATCCTCTGCACCCAGCAGGAAGAGCACAGCTCACACAGCAAAGGCACAAACTCAGAACCCCTTGTGCTAATCCAGATGCATCAGAACCCACCCACCCCCCCCCCGCAATGCCCTCTCTTCTGCAAGCTTTTTGATTTGAAAGGTATGCTGGGGATTGCTCAGCATCTGAGGCTCCCTCTCTACTGTCACAATCACAAGGCTGGGGACTAAAGTACATATCAGACCCCACCAGCTAGTTGCAGTGATTGAAACACTAGTTTCTTGTCTGCATGACTGAAAAGAGTAAAGGAAATGTCCTAACATTTAGAAAACACCCAGGAGTCCAGGAACATCGAGGCTGCAGTCTGTGACCCTTGTGCTTCCCAGGACTGGGGTCACCTCACCAAACCTAAAGAACTACAGGGTCCTTTCCCCAGGTCATCCTGGTTTGCTTCCACTCATCTGCTTCAAGAGGATGAGAGAGTAGGCAGAACATCATACAACCTCCTAACCTGAAAACAAGAAAACTTAAGAAATCAAGGACATGCTAACCTGCATCCAGCTACAAATTCCTCTAGCACCTCTCTGAGTCGCTCTTCTGCTTTAGCCTTTGGCCTTCTCACAAGCTTCTCCACGTCATCCAGCCCTTGCTCCTGTGGGGAAAACACAACACTTAGGGAGCTTGCACCTGGCTGCAGGGTCAGAGTGAAACATTGCAAGGACACATTTGCCTCAAAAAGTTTGTGCCCTTCTGCAGTGCTAGGGATCATGACAGTGCTACCAGGGACTCTACAGAGCCTAGGGATATCCTTAACACTGATTGTTACACCATCTTGTGTCCCAGTCCTTGAGTAGCCACTGAAACACGCTGGCAAGATCTGATTTCTAAGCCCAAAAGAGAAAGATCAGGCTCTGCAGAGAGACTGCACCCTGCTGATGGCAGCCCAAGGCTGAGAGTCTGCTTGCAGCAGTATCTCCCCAGTGCACATGCAGCTCAGGACTGGGAGCAGAGGAGGCTTTTGTCACAAACATCATGTCACTCACCTGCCACTGCCAGGCTGTGGCACAGCACAGGCAGTGGTTCTGCACTCACTGTCCTGCCCCACGTATTTAAAGGGCAGGTGGGACCGAGCCCTGCGACAGACAGACTCGTGTTGCGAGGGAGGAAGCTCAAGGTAAATGTCTCACAGAGCAACTGCATGTGCTACCAGCAAAGCACACCAAGGACTGTGCCCCAGACAGACACCCTGAACACACTACCAGGCGCTCTGCGAGCTTGACAATCCAGTTGGAAATGCAGAGTCTCCAGGTGTGATCCTCCCAGTAGCTCCACACATACACGCAGGGTTTCTCATGCGTCATGGGCAGGCAGCTGTAGGACCTACGGACAGCAGGCACAGGCGGTCAGGGCTGCGGCTGGCAGAAGGCACGTGCCACGTCACGCCCAGCACAGCAGGCCGTGCCCTCGCAGAGAACCATCTCTTCTGGGCCCTGCACCACAGACATGGATGCAAGCTCCTGGCCTGGCCCCTTGCCTTTCCAAACTAGTGCACATGGTTTCTAGCAGAGAAGCAGCACATGCCCAGGTGAATGAGGCTGATGGGGGCATAGGATGCTGAAGTGCTGGGGTTTAAGCACCCATCCCTGAATGAGGGTTACCATATGGATGATGCCCACAACCAGGCAAGACTTTTCTGACTGGCCTATACCCAGGGTCTGGCCAGCCTTGGGTGGGAACCAATTAGGAGATCACCACCAGCTGCCCTCCCTTCCGCGTCAGCATCTTGTCCCGCCTCCAAGTTAGTAGCATAAAAGCTATCTCTGCTTGCAGTGGCGTTGGGAAGCCTATTTACATAGTAGATGTACTGTGTAGGGTTTTCAGTTATTGGAAGGGCTCCCTGATTGTCCACTGCACGTAGGGTTCCCAGTGATGGTGGGACAAGATCAAGACCAGGATGGAAAGTGGATTATGTATGTAATGAGGCTTTTCCTTGGCAACTGCTGTATGATTGGAATTGGACTGATGGCCTGGGTTATTCCTTCCCCCACAGCCTGGTTTTGGACTCAGCTCGCTCCTTTCTTTGCTGCATCATATACTGTGACTGAATACATTGATTTATTTACTCCTCTGGTGGCTGGCCATCTCATACCTTTCCTATGTACTTTGGAATGGAATGGTAAAATCTTTCCTATATGTATGCTAATGGTCCTGTCCTTCCTACTGGGACAAGCGGTCAGCAAAAGATGCTGCCAAGATTCTTTACTGCTATGGAACTGAGTACTAGTAGGCACAGGGCTCACAATGAAAACACCAAGGCATTGCCAGGCCTGTGGGACAAAGGAGGCAGCACTCCCAGGACAAATATATCATCAGAAGAGCCTGTGTATGTCTTGTCTGCCCAATATAGGACAGCATGTGCCAGAGTTCTCCTCCTCTTCCTTCTCACTGGAATCAAGTCCTTAGGATGCTGCCTGTTGACTAGAAAAGGGACTGCTGTTATTGATGGGTCACAGTTTCCCTGGGACACCATCCTTGGCCCCCTGCACATATCAAACAGACACCACAGAGCCTCTAGGGCTAATGTGCAATGACAGTCAGCTAGGCCATGGCAAGCTGCAGGGTTGCAAAGAGGAGAAATACCTGCACAGCACTTGCATTGCTGAGCAGACCTCTAATAACATCTGGAGTAACCAACCTGGGAAGCTGGGGCAGGTAAGAAAGCAGGATGTAGAACAGTCACCTGTCATACTCCATGGGCTCTGGTCTCTGGCTCTTTGTCACCGACTTGTTCAGTGCTGCTGAAGCTGGGGCCAGGACTTCAACATCCAGCTCACCATCTGAACCAGGGTCCAGCAAAGGCTGATTTTCTTCTTTCACTTCTCCCTTTTCCACATTTCTTCCTACTTTGGTCACAATCTCTTCAGCTTTGCCATAGTTTCCTTGATGTTAAGCATTAAACAGTAAACAGGTAAGTGGGATCACCATTAAACAAGTTTGCTAGCTTGCAAAATCAGAGTGCAATCATCCTGCCAAAAGAAGCACAAGGGCATGCACTGCTTTTGGAACTAGCAATTCAGTAGCATCCAGCCATCAGGACATCACATGGACAACCAGGAGGTCTGAGAGGGAGCTGGGCAATTGCAAGGAAGTCCTTGTGTATGCCTTCAAAGCTCCACCAAGTGCCTGCTAAGTGCCATCTACACCCCTACACTGAGGTCAGCAGCAGTCACTTAGGAAGACTTCTAGCATCAAGCATCTCCACCCATCCAGATTAGCAGGTGGGGGCTTGGCCCTGCTCTCCTACTATTGTTTCCTTGTCACTCACTCTCATAGCTCCTCAACACCACATGGCCAACCTCAGTGTCTCAGCTTCCCTTTGCTTCCCTTTCTTCCTCCCAAGCCCTTCTACCTCTTCTCAGCCCCACTTTCCAGAAGATCTTCAACCACTCTCCTCCCCAAAGAGGCAGTTCATACAAATATTGCAAATCTCCCATCTCACAGGACAGCATCCAGATTTTTAAGGTAATTAAAGCATTGTGTGCACTACCTGGCCTCATCCCCCATCTTTCCCGAGTTCCTGTTTCAAAGGCACAAGCTGTTCAAGGGCTGGCACCTCAGGAGCACAGTGCTGATTTGGGCTGTCAGAGGGATGTTTACACTGTCCCCATCGTTTCTCGACACAGAGCCCTGGGGAATACCCACCTATAGAGACTTCAAAGCTGACAGGCTTGGAGCTCAGAGAGGAGTCCATCATAGTGGCTTCAAAGAAAGCAGCAAAGAGGAGGAATTCCTCCTTCCTTCCCAATGCATTCTGAGCAAGGAGACAGAAATCAGCCTGAGAGCCTTGTGTGCCAAAAAAACTGCCTCAGCAGAAATTCAGAGAGCACCAAGGCACAGGCAGTGCCTGCCAGCCCTTCCAAGGGTCATCAGTGGGGTGCTGCTATGATCACTACCAGTGGGCTGCCAGACACAGGACTAGTTTTCTTGGAAATTCCTGGGGGTTGATGCAGAGCCAAGGCTTTGGCTGACATTTGTAAAGCCACAAAGCAGGTTTGGAGGCAAAGGGATGGCTGCTGTACAAACACAGCTGCCTCTTGCCTGCCTTTCCCAAGCCCAGTAGAGATCCAGAGTCATCTAGAAACTCCTTGGGTCCAGGGGAGAAAAAGTACATGCTGGAGAAAAAGGCAGCTGTGCCCTGGGAATAACACCCATGTGAGAGTCCTCCTCATGCCAGGAAGGCAGCACATGTGGGGATGCTTCAGCCTTAATGTGGGAGGCAGTTTTGGGGCTGCAGGTGTGGCCCTGGTCCTTGCAGAGTCTCAGAGAGCTCTGGATGGCCCAGCAATGAGCAGGCTGGGTTTGCTTCAGCAATGTTACACCAAGTGTTACACCCATGAGGCCTGTGCATGCCACCCGTCAGTGTGGGTCAGCCACGCCAGCATGGCAGGACTCACCTCAGGGAGTGGATGAAGCTCTTCCACCTCCACAGTGACCTCCCCAGGCTGCTCTGCCTCCTGAGAGCCCCCAGCCTCCTCCTCTCCCTGCAGCTGCCTCAGTTCTTTGACTTTCTCCTTGGATTTCTTACTTTTCTTCTTCAGCTTCAGTTTGCTTAGGGCACCTTTCATCTTGTCCCCAAGCTTCCTCTCTGCCATGCTGGGGCTGCTGAAGATCTCCACTGAGATGGCCATGAGGATGCGCCCACGGTAGAAGATCCCCTCGCCCATGCCCTCATTGAGGTCCTTGTGGACGTCCCGCAGAGCTGAGTTCTGGGGGGAGCCATACAGATTCACCCAGGCTGGACCAAACATGGGGTTAAAGCCTGCAGTGATAGGGACAGGGTCTAATTACACCACAGGGTGCTGCTGCAGAGAGATCTTCCCCCAAGACGACAGCCCAGGACACAGGGGTGTGAGCACGCTTGGGCCACTCCTGCTTCCCACCTCCAGGAGACCACCATGGCCAAGCAGAGAGTGCATGGCACGGGGCTTCCCAGGATGCCCTGCCCCATGGTCAGCCCTGCCTGGCCTCACCATTCCTGCCAGGATCTGAGATTTGCTGCAGGTCAATGTAGTGTGTAGCAATGGCCACATCACCAACATTGGCATCATCCAGCAGCTGGACTTTTATCTTCCTGGCCAGCGGCGGGAACATCTCGATGAAGCTGATCTGCTCGTTCCACTCGGGCTCAGTGGTGTTGGTCTCCACTGACGTTTCCCCCTGGGAAAGAAAAGGTGTGAAAGCCACACACGGAATCTCAGCTGGCAGCCAGAGCAAGGGATGCCTCAGAGCCTCTCTGGGAATGGCACGTCCTCCTGTCCCGCCTGCAGATGGTGCCAGGCAGGCTCTGGAGGTGGCAGTGTCCCTTGCTCCTGCCCCCATCCCAGCAACAGCCCTCTGCTTCATCAAGGGAAGCTCTCCCAAGGTCCTGGCCATGTCATGCACAGACAGCCAAGGGAAACACTAGGAGTAAGCAGGCAGCAACACCAGACCCAGAAGCGTTGCATGGGTCCCCTGGGGGCACCTCCAGGCTCACCAGGTTGCCCAGGGACTGATTCTCACCTTAACAGACATAAGAAAACCCTGGCCTGGGGTGCAAGGGCTATTAGCTCAGTAAATTCTCCCGAGGGTGTCAGACTGAGTCTAGCTTGCCAGAGAGGGCTTCTTCTCCAGGATCTATTTGACCCTCTCCCTATGTTTAGGGATATGAAACCTGTGCCTGCACGGCCAGTAGCTCAGACAGTGGCTGTGCTCAAGGTTGGGCTCTCCCCCACACAGCTCTCTGCAGAGACAGAAGTCCCATAAAAATCTTCTCATCTAGATACATATGACCATATGGCTCGTGCCACTGCAAAGGACAGCAGTCCTTGGGCTCTCCCAGTCTGTCTCTGGTGGGACTGCTGCATCCCATAGAGGTTCCTGGCAGCATCAGCCCAGGATGTGCTGCCACAGACCCAAGGGGAGATCGCCCTAGCCCCACACAGACCCCTCGTCAGACTCACCTGCTGCCCACAGAATGAGATCTGTACGTATGGGTCGACAAAGACTTTTTTCTCCCCTATGATCTTGGAGAAACCACCCATGATGCCCGCACTCATGCTGGGCAGGCCCTCAGCACGATACAGCTTGATGCAGACCCTGGCCCAGGGTCTCTCTGCAGGGACTCTCTTGGGCAGCAGCAGGTTCCTGAAAGGCAAATTCATGTTCCACCTCACTCCTGCAGCCCAGGAAACACAATGCTAAGAAATGCCCTGACTGGGGGAGGTTTGTATCTTGCCCCACCACAGATCTCTTTCCCCATCAAAAGAGAGAAAAATAGGGCAAAAAAGGTAGTGTGAAAAGAGATGTGACTGGTTTCCCCAGGGCCATGCAAGATCATACTGCATCTACCTTTCAATGTCCTCATCCCGGCTGCTGGTGGAGGTGGGAAGGGAGCCAACAACATCCCCACGTGCAGTGACGGAGATGTTGCACTTCACAAAGCCCTTCACACCTGCCCGGGTGTCTGTGGGGTCACTGATAACAGCCCACTTCTGGAAAAACCTGTGATCTGAGAGGGAAGAAGTTCCTTGTGGAAAGCCCAGGTTAATATTTCACATCCCAACTACATCTCCACAAAGACCCTGACTGTGAGGGTGCAGCAGGTGTCACCAGCCTAGCCAGGAGGAGAAGCAAGTGCTGGTCCTCATGTGAAGGAGTGCTTTAAGGGCCCTCACCAGGCCCAGCAAAGCACGAAGGAAACATCAGTTCCAGGCAAATCCAGAGTCAGGGAGCAGGTATGCAGTGCAGTAAGTCATACCTGTCTGGCTGTACACTGTCATGACATCCATCTTGAACGTTCCTATGCATGTTCCCAGGAATGGTATCTTCTTTGAGTGAAAAACCTGCAGACAGTACAAATCCCCCTGAACACCAAGAAAGGTGGGCAGGCAGGTGACACATCCAGACATCATTGAGGAGGACAGGTCTGCTAAGACATGCCCGTTCCAATGCACATCTCAGACAGCTCAAGCTGCAGGCTCCTCATGTACATTGACCCATCTGAGTTAGCCCTAAGACAAACCCATTCCTGCCCAACCATTGCCACAAAACCCGCCAGCCCTCAGTCAAACCTGGGCCAAGGCTAATTCATGTGCAACTAATTCAGCTTCTTCTTCCAGCCCCAGATCAGCTAAACCTCTACAATGAACCAAGGGCAGGCCTGCTTTCCCACGGGGAGTCATATCCCTATCCTGCTGGTTCAGGGCTCAGCCATGCCCCCACCAGGACAGTGTGTCTCCCAAAGTCTGAGCCTTCCTTGGTGCTGACTGAACACACCCCAGCAGAAGAGATGTGCAGCCTTTCACAGCGAAAGCGCTGGAGATGATGTGGCAAAGGAGGTGCTGGCTGAGTTCAGCTAGCTTCAGCAAAGCCCCAGTTCTTGGAGAAGTCTCTGTGCTGTGGACAAGGGGATTTCTGAAAACTTCTTCTCTGCCTGCCTGGGCGTTTCTACAAGCACAAATAATTGATGATCTCCCCTCACACCAGTCATTCACCTCCACAACATGAAGGATGAGACCCCAGGGTAAGGGACAGCAGGGAATCACCCCCAAAAGAGCAGGGCAGCAAGGCCACAGGCAAGAAGCTGGCCCAGAGACCCCGCTTCAGTCACTAGATGCAGAGAAAACTTGACACAGAGGAGATGGGAAGACAGCTCTGCCCAGTGCTGGCTCAGAGCAGGGCCAGGTCTCTGCCCCACTGTGGCCACAGGAAAGCCCTTTGGTGTCTCTGCAGGGTAATGATCTCTGGCTGGAAAACCTGGCTGGTACTGGTACCCTTGCTTTGCACAGCACTCTCAGCATTTCCACACAGAACCACTGGGCTGCACCACTTACTGCTGAAGGGCAAAGAGAAGGACATACTTACTGAGATCTCTATGAGTCTGTGGAATAAAATGTCCCTTGGCTCATGGAATTCGAACAAAAAAAACTGAAAGAGAAGAGGAAGACATCTGAGCCTTAGGCTCCCAATATAGCCCCCACAAGTGCCTGTACCCTGAAAGCAGCTGCAACCCAAGCATCCCCTGCAAGGATGGCCCCAGACACCTGGGACACTGGCAGAGCAAGGACAGAGTCTCTGTCCATATCACATACTTCATTGTAGAAGGGGCAGTTTGTTGACTTCTGCGTTGTGGTATGCCTCTTCTCCTCTCCAACCTTGACTACCACGAAGGGGTTAATGTTCACCCCCACCAGCTTCTGTGCTTCAATGATATTAATCCCAACCTGAGAAAATGTGGGAGAAAACCTTTAGATCAGTACTCACCTTGTCTCCAGTTCCATCTAGAGCTTGTTTCAGCAACACTGGCATACAAATTGCAGGGTCCTCTCGCCACTCTCAGGGCAGGCAAGAGCACGGCTGCTGAAATCCACAGCAGATAGACAGGACAAACCAAAATGGTATTTGAGATACTTGTTCCTTTCAGACAAGCAAAGAAATGAATTGTTTAATCCCCAGCACCTTTGCCAAGAGCAACCTCCCCAGCAGCACTGTCCCTACTCCCACGAGGGATGCAAACCCACTGCTCCCACACTGGGGGATCCACAAAGCATCTTGGAGAAGATCTTTCTCTTTGAATCTTACTGAGATAGATGCCATTGGAAAGACTGGACTGTGGTTGTCTCACTTGCTGTGACTAGTTGCCAGTCTAAGATATAGAGAAATGTTCTCACATTTGTGCTCAGTACAAGCAACTAGGAAGTTGTTAATGTGAAGAATAATAGCTTCAAGAAAAGGACTGCAGGGAATTCCACTCCCACAAAAGCTTCCTGCATTGTCAGTAGGACCCTGCCCAGAAAAGCAGGAGATACAAATGTGAGTCCATGTTTACTTAGAACCAGGGAAGGACTTAAATCCATAGACAGGCTGGGAGACCTGCCCTGAAACCTGCAGGGCAAGAGATGGGACTGAACTCCATTTCCAAACTTCACAGTGTTTTCAGATAAACCTGATATCAGAGCATTGACCAGAGTCATAGCTTCCTATCAGCCTCCCTGGCATCTCCAAGAAAGCCCCTTCAGCAGCCCTCCACCCCCAGCCATGTCTCACAGATGGCCCTGGGGACTCACACAACGCCCTGGGGAGGATGGCAGGCACCAGCCCTTCCTGGGTGCTCTCTGAAGCTCTGCTCAGGCAGCGTTTTACAGTGGCACATGAGGCTGTCAGGCTGTTTCTCTTCTCCTGTACATCCGTAGCTTACTACATGGCCTCAGAAGAAACTCTGCTCTGGGCAGATGTTGGAGCCAGCACTCATGGATGCAGTCTGTTCCAGGAACCTCACACTTTGCCCAGGGAAGCCACATAAAACAAGAAGGTGTCCCTATGCTAGAGGCCTTGCCAGGGTATGTGGCAATTGGAGAAGCCCATGCCCTCAGCAGGACAGCAAGGAACCAGCTGCAGGGCCAGAGCTGGCTGCAGGGACACGCACTCAACTGCAGTACCTGGAAGCTCTGTGGGGTTGGGGTAGTGAACAGGTCCCGTGTGGAGCACAGTCTGGAGCGGCTGCACAGAAAAACAGGCCAAGTGAGAAGGTGAAGTGATGGCGTTTAAACCCCCAGCCCTGAATGAGGGTTGGCGCATAGTCCACAACCAGGCAAGAAAGCCCCTCCTGACTGGTTTTCACCGAGGGCCTGGCCAGCCTTGGGTGGGAACTGGTTAGGAGATCACCACCAAGTGCCCCCACTTTCCACATTAACTTGGAGGTGGGGCAAGAAGCCACCTCTGTGGGAGCTGACTCTGCTTGCAGTGGAGTTGGGAAGCCTGTCTACACAGTGCATGTGCAGTGTGAGGATTCTGGCTATTGGAAGGGTTCCCTGGCTCTTCCCAGGATGGCAGGGCCAGAGCATGAAACTCTGAGTCCCTGTGATGTAACTGGGCTCCTGGCCTGGCTGCTCCCATTGCCCACGGCTTGGCTCCTTGGCTGGATGGCTCCATTCTTCATGTCCACTGCTGTGGGTGAGTGCATGGACTTGTTCCTCCCTCTGGTTGTCCATCACTTTGGCTCTCTGGTGTGTGATGTGGTAGCAGAGGGAGGAGTGTGGCTGCTGGTCTGCCCATTAATAAGAATATCGTTCTATATTGGGCAAGCAGTCAGCAGAAGAGCAGGTCTATTCATTTACATGGATCTGAGCAAGCTCCTACCAAGGGAAAGCAGCAGAAGCCCTTGCTCTAGGGACAAGCAAACCCCCAACAGTCCCTGTTTGAGACCACTGGAGATAGGTTTCTGATATTTTGGAAAAGCAGAATGCCAAGAGATGCAGCATGCCCCCATGAGCTGGCACTTTCCACCCTAGGGCCCAAGCAAGGGTATGAAAGAAGAGCACACTGTGGATACCTCTTCACAGGGCTGAAGACAACACCTGACACCTCCACCTCAGACACATCGTAGAAATCTTCTTCCTCTTCTTCTTCTTCCTCATCAGTCTCCAGACCTTTTGCCAGCTTCCTGCCCAGTGTAGCAGCCCTCCTGTCCAGTTCACTCACTCTTGGCCCCTCAGCTGCCCTGCAAACCCCCACACCACATCATGAGTTGCCTCATCAGCCCTGATGAGCAGGTTGTGCACACAAGAGATACACTCCAGTAGGTCTACTTACTCCAGCTCCTCAAATCCAGGATTGTGGATGATTAACTCTGAACTGCAAGAAGAAGAGATGCTTTGTTGTAAAAACTAGCATGTTGTGGCTGTTGACTGATGCATTTAAGTAACAGTGCCACAGCTTGGCTCTCAGCAGGGACATGACCGCTCTCCTGCGCAATGTCTTCCCACTCTGTGCCTGCTGCTTTGCCTCTGGCACTCCAGAAGTTACTTTTTGCTGCTGCCTGTCATCCTGCCTGCCCAGACACCTGCATCTCTCCTGGCTTTGGGCACCCCCTGTGTGCAAGGTGCCTGGGCTTGCTACAGTCCAAAGCCATGCTCTCTGCAACTTTGCAACCACAAAGTCTTGCTCCTGTCAGCCCAGGCTGCAGAAATGCTCTTAAGTTCAAAAGGACTCCTAGGGTGCAGTGGGTTGTTGCAGTCACATGCTCTTTGTGAAGACAAGGTATTTTCTTCCCAAGAGCCCTGTTCACTTGCTGTATTGCTGATGTAGAGCAGAGATGCATCAGCCTGGACACAGGTGGAGAGTAAACGAGGCTGGGCTGCATCCCAAATGCTGCCACTGGAAGTGCTGCTGTACAAGCTGCCTGGAAATTTGCTCCTCCTAGGATTTCGGTACCTGTCTTTCATCGGATAGACAAAGTCCTCTTCAACCCAGGTCCCAGCTGAGCCATCTGGAGGCTGGTAGCGCAAATCCAACTCAATGTAGATCTACAATCAGAAAACAAAACTGCCCAAGAGCCACAAAACAATTGCAGAAATGTCATGAAAAAAGGGAAGGGGAATGTGCAAGGAAAAACGAAGGTGCTGGTAGAAAGATATGGAAGGAAAGGGGTCACAACCCCACAAGAAGCCTTTTTATACCAGACTCTTCTTGTCTACCTCCATCAACAAGCTAGGGCTAATCCAACTGCCTTCCCTACAGCTTCCCAGACTCCAGGATTCACTGAATAAAAGCTAACTCAAGTTTCCAAAATATACCATGGAGAGGCCCCTGAGAGCTGTCTTGGGGCACTTCTGACAGTGACAGTGAGGAGAGCCCTGCAGCAGAGGAAACTAACACACAGAGTTTTGGAGCAGACACGCAAGACAGCTGGCAGAGCATTCTCAGGCATGACAGCTTGCTTTAAAATATCACAGAAGCCATAAGCACATCCAGAGTCTGCATCACAAGAGACATCAACTTAGTGATGAAGGAGAGCCAAAGAAATATGTGGCACACCGAGTATCGGCACAGCCAGCACGGATTTGAAAACACTTGGCTTACAGGTGACCAGCCTGATGTCAAACCAGCACAAACACACAAGAATTTCCCAGCAGAGGCCAAAATCACAGCCATGGAGGAGGTCACTACTCCAGTAGACTGAAGGGAATGTACAAGCTAGCTTCATCATTCAGTCCCTGGAAAACACATGCTTCTGGGAGGAGAAATACAGCCCAGGAAAGGGTTAGGGTGCAGAAGCCTGAGATAAAGCTGGGTGAATAGCTGAGGCTCTGAAAAAAAAACTCTTCAAATGCCCAGGAGAAAAGAGGGTACAACTAACTCAAGTCACAGAGAAGCACAGGACTTGGAAGAGCAGAAATGGCTTTGTTCCTGCTTTGCTAAAAGAGCCGTGGTCGAAACACTC